TTTKKTTKKTAAYATRCATCATTTGATCTCGGCAAGRACARTGGCGGAGTKSTGGGCAGCATTGGGTAGGGAAGTTACAAGTTCATGGTTGCGAGGTCTTACCCGGCAAGCGGCAAATGATAACATCTTTGTATAATGCTGCCCACCACTTCACTCCGTCCGATGCCCTTTTGTTTCAAGAAATGTCTGCTAAGCTATAATTATTCTTGGAATGATAACATATTGGTTAATTTTCCCTCGGAGGGTGATCCGGGCTATGATCATAAGTTCATCCTTTTGATTGAGTGAATTTCAAAGATATTTAATGAATGACGCACGGTTTATAACATAACGGATTTTCTCCATCCGAATAATGAAATGTTTGATTCGGATATATCCCAGTTTTACTATAAAACTAGCCAACTTGTGTATTATGGATTATATCGAAACATGTGACTCGGATGAATCCTACTCATCCTGCTTGTATTCAATTAAACTTAAAAAATGAGCTCTTCTTTTCACTCCCATGCACCCTTTAAAGCCTCAACGAAGACCTTTTTTGGGTCACTCATATACGTCCCTCACAAGGGGAAACCTTCGATATGCTACGTTCGTACTGACTGTCTGAATGTGTGCCAGTTTAGTTGAGGATTTATCCGTTGAACAGGGACTCTGATCGTTGTTTATTAATGTATAATGAGCATCTTCTTTTGTCAGCCATGTATACCTTTCGAGTTTCTCGAACGACAAAAGTACTATTTAGAAAATAATGTACTATTTTAATGAATAACATGTTAAGACCATCGACGCCCAAGGTGGTTGCACAGGCACCCGCCCCGGTAGAGAAGGCAGAGGAGTCGAACGCGGTACTGGACCTTACACGTGCACTGGTTCGCCTCATGCAACAAAGCAAAAAGGAACAGCGCGAGCACAATGCCCGCATGGAGTCGTTGATGCGTTCCATGTGCCCCATTAACGTCCGCGCTGCCCCTTTTGTCACCCAAGCACCTGCTCCCTCAGCCGCAGGAGCTGGCGCAGGACCGGCCCCTATAACCGACAGGTGTTATGTCTGCCATCAACCCGGCCACATGGCTCGAGATTGCCCCCAGCAACAAGTAAGAATAGGGGCAGCCCCGGCAGCTCCAGCTCCCTTAGCTAACGGGCCTGGACGGGTAGGAACCATAGTAGAAGAAACAGACGTGGCAATACCAAATACAGGGGTAATCGAGGAAGCCGCAGAGCTCATCCCACTGGATCAATTCCTCTCCTTGGGATATTCGGGGCTCAGGAATATAGGGGCAATCCAGCCCGCGGACAACGAACGCGAGATTTTGGAATGGCAACCATCTCCTGGGGAGATGGAATCCGGCGGCCCTGAGTTCGTCACCAGAAAAATCGATGTTCTGGACATCGTCCGAGCCTTAGACCACTGCATTCCACTTCTGATCGGCCACCTGTTGTCCATATCAGAACAGGCCAATGATCGCATGCTCCAGCATTGCAACGCCGATCGAAAACGATTCGCACTCGCCAAGCTGGCAACGGCCAAGGGGAAGGTGCCCGTAAGGGAGACAAAGCTGGATACACCTGGACCCTCTGAGCCTGTGTGCCTGGGACTTCTCCAAAAAGACGACCATTTTCTGCGCATCAAAACTATCCCGTGGAAGTTCGCGGAGTGTGACGTAGAGATCTGGGGAGTGCCATACAGTGCGATCCTTGATTCCGGGGCAGCAGTATTGGCAATATCCCTGCGAGTAGTGGAACGGGCAGGAAGAAGGAAGGATCTAATCCCACTCAACGAACGAGACTGTTTGATCTCCGCCGATGAGGAGAAGATCAAAGCGGTAGGAAAAATGACAAACGTCGCTTTTAAGTTGGGAAAAGTCCACGCCTTGGGTGACGTGGTGGTTCTTAATGTGAACTCGTACGACGTACTCATCGGATTGCCTGCTTTAAGCGCCCTCCAGGCTAGTCTAGACTTTGAGCGACGGAAGGTGGTTATCAAGAACACCGGGGGTAAGTCGTACGCAGTCCCCATGCACCTCACCCTCCGCATGACTACCAACCCGCCACGTAGATTTCACTCCGAGGTGGGCGGGCCGATTCATACAGTCACCTGGGACGGACGCCTAAAGGACTCGGAGACTAGCAGCGAAGAACACGCGTCCCCGCTCCCCAAGGATTCGGAAAGCGAAGACGAGACCAACCCAACAATTCAAGAGCTGATACGAAGGGTAATTTGTTACCCAATCCGGTAGAAAACGACGAAAACGTTCGTGCTGACCGAAAAAAATGTCCAACGAACTCGAGCTCTAATCATAGGGGAACCCCTGGTACGGGTGTCAAGGATGCCCGACTCTTCGGAACCCCCTTGGACCCTGTACGAGGGCGCTACTCCTTTGCTTCCCCGATACGTAGATAAGCGGTCCTTTTGCAACGTCACGGAACCCCCTCCTCGATCGCTTCTTACCTTAGATTAGGAGATACGATTGCTGCGTCTGGGAGTGGAAGTACAGGCTTCGGAACCCCCTGGATGCCCCAAAGCCTCGCTGTTTGATGTCGGGATAAGAATCGCTGAGAAATCGGTGGATCCCCGGGATATCGCGGACAGGATAACCCCCGAAGAACACGTGGCCATCCGAGAGGAGGAAGCCCAGATGGTGGCCACCGTGTTCTCGTGGCAGTCGGACAACTCTTTTATCTCTTCCCCGCAGCCCCGAGGCTCTAAGGCAGTACGTACCAAACACGTTACAGTCGATATACACGGACGGACTTACGAGTTACACGTTCCAAAATACGTGCCTGATGGAACCCACCAACATATTGCGGAGATCTTAGCGGAATATCGGGGTGCTATTAGCATTGATGACATGGACATCGGGTTATCCTTAATAATCCAGCAAGAGATTCAGATCGGTACTCTTCCGCCGACTCATTGCAAACCGTACCGATACTTACTAGCAGAACGAAAGGCGGCACTCGAGCGAATCCGGGAATTCGAGGCTAACGGTTGGATAGAGCCCGCTACAGGTCCTTGGTCCTTTCCGGTGGTTTTGGTTCCGAAAAAGAACGAATCGATCCGCATCTGCATTATTTATCGGAAATTGAATGATATCACGATCAAGGATGTGTACCCTCTCCCTTGGATTGATGATCTGCTGGATGTGATTGGCTGTGCAAATTATTTTAGTAAATTTGATATTCGGCACGGGTTCCACCATATCCTTGTGAGGGAAGAGGATCGGCCGAAGACGACGTTTGTCTTATTTGAGGGCACGTGGCAGTGGGTTCGATGCCCTATGGGTATATGCAATGCGCCGACGACTTTTCAACGGGCAATGAATGTCACTTTTCAGAACTTCGTGAACAAGACCAAGTTAACTCAGGGCATGATCAATTTTTGCGTTATCGTGTACATGGACAATATTTTGGTGTATTCTGAATCATTTCATGGACACGCGCAACATATTGAATGGACACTTGGCGCTCTACGGGACGCCGGTTTCAAGATTGCGTTGGAGAAAAGCGGATTCTTCTTGTCTGATATCTCGTTCCTGGGCTATGTGGTAACCCGGGGAGGCTTGAGACCGGATTCGAGGTAGGTCGAGGGTGTCCGAGAAGCACCCACGCCCACGTTATTGACGCAGGTTCGAGCCTTCCTGGGACTGGCCTCGTATTACCGACAGTTTATCAAGGGCTTTGCGGCAATCGCTCGGTCCCTGACGAACCTCCTGCGGAAGGACCAGCCGCTGAACTGGGACACGGAGTGGCACTTTGAAGGAGGCCCTGGCCTCGTCCCTTATTTTAATCCGGCGCGATCCCAAGCGCCAGTTCCTACTCATTATTGGCTGGAAGTCGGAGGCTATCTCCGCTATCCTAGCTCAGAAGGGGAAAGACGGGCGGGAGCACGTGGTCGAATATGCTTCGAGGACGGTGCCGGACGAAAGGAAGAATGACTCGGCGCCACAAGGAGAATGCTACGTTGTCGTCTGGGGAATCCAGCACGTCCACCCGTATCTCTACAGGCAGAAGTTCCTCCTCGTAACGGAACACGAGCCATTGCTGGCCCTCAAGAAGGTGACGAACTACACGGGAATGATCAGGCGATGGGCAGTGAGGCTGCAGGAGTATGACTTCGATATCGTTCACAGAAAAACGGAAAGGTACGGGAACGCCGACGGATTGACACGTCTGCACTGGCCAGGCAAAGTGCCACGTAACGAAGAGATCACTCCGTGGAAGGATCGGGAGCAGCCAAGGGACCCAGGTACGGCCAGGTGAAGGTTCTCCCGCGGCAGGCGAAGAAGTGACACGTGTCCTTATGGCGGCCCTGAGAGAAGAGAACGCTGAGGGCCCCCTCTCTCCTTCTTCCTCCTCTCTATTCTCCCTCCCCGATCATTTTTGTTTTCTGTGTGAGTCTATCTCGCGCATCCACTCCGTTTCGGTTAGGCCGAAAAATGAAGGGTACGTCGAGTGGGTAGAATGTGCCACGTGCGTAGTCACGGCCCATGGATCATGCATTCAGTATAGGAATCCGCAGAAACGGTGGCTCTGCCATTTGTGCCGTACCGACAAGATTCCGATGGAGACTCGATTCCTTGAAGCGATGTCGAAAGGGTTGGAAACGATCTTTGAGTATAGACGAGCAGAAGTGCGGACAGATGTCGCTCTTATAGCAACCGTCGTAGGGAACCCTCTTCGAGAATTCTCCAAGGACGATCGGAGACGGGCCAATGAAAGGGCGCGAGACTATAAACGAGGGACGGTTAGAAAAGCGGAAAACAGACGGGAGCGGAATATGGATGGTAGTTCCGCACCCGTTCATGAGGTATGGTTGGGTTAAAGCAGCCCACGAAGAGACAACAGCCCATTTCGCGGTCAGGATCACCGAGTCCGCCATCGACAAAAATGAATGGTATTGGTCCAACATTAGGGACAACGTTAAATATATTGTTAAAAATTGTCCGGTCTGTGCGGCCGACAAAGCGCCGATTCAGCCACCTAGGTCAATAGTGCCCACCGTAGTCCAACGACCATTTTAGAGGGTAAGCATGGACACGACGGATATTATCGTCCCCCTTGGGATGAATAATTATGCATATTCAATTCTCTTGGTGTTTGTCGACCACTTCTCAAAGTGGATTGAGGCCTACCCCTGTCGGACACGACAGACGGCGGAAATAGCGCGGTATGTCAACCGTTTCCTCGGGATGCATCAGGACACCGAGGAAATCCTTACCGACAACGGAGCTGAATTTAGGGGGGGAGTCATGAGGAACTTGGTCGTACACTGGGTGTCTATTCGTAATACGGCTCCCCATATATCTCAATCGAACGGCCTCGTGGAAAATGCCAACCAGGTAATTAAAACGACACTTCGACGGAATATTGCAGCTAAGGACACGCGGCAGTGGCCTGATATCGTAAATCACATCTTAGCTATACATCGAGGGACCCCACATGAATCCACCGGACTTTCACCTTTCCAGCTACGTACCAACAGCCTATCTTGCGTCTCGATACCGAGCCTAAATGACGAAACGGCGTTGGACAAACGTCCCACGTGGGCGACGACCAAGGACAAGGCCAAGCGCCATCTGGACCTAATGGAACGGGCCCTCCCAAGATTGGCCTGGAAAAGACAGCATATGACTGAATTGGCCCACGGACGCCAAGTCTGGAGTTATGAGGCTTGAAATGGGAACGGAGACCCTCGGCCCCAGTATAAATTGGGGGACTTGGTGCAGGTGAGGAAATGTGCTCGTCGGGGTAAGCTAGCGCCACGGTTCTGCGGATGCTTCAAAGTGATCGAGCTCGGTCCTTACGGAGTGAACACGGTGCGGCGTGCTCCTAAGGTGTCAGGCAGCCGGTCGGCTAGGCCTATCGTCCGCCACGTGTCCTACCTCCGCCATCTCTCGACTTCTTCCCCTCCTTCTCCAACTCGGTCGATTTCGGAGTCCGAGTGGAACAGTGACGAGCCTCATTCTCTTTCCTCTACTCGCTCATCTTCTCCCTCCTCTTCGCCATGAGTTTCTCCATGGAGCAGGTACTCGGTGAACGCATGTTGGCGCCAGGTGGCATATCTCGTCAATCCGACAAGTGTATCATCCGCGCATCAGCCCGGACACTCTCCGCTTCGCTCAGTTCTTCAGTACGGCGGGACTCCGTGGCGGTAGAATTTCGATTTGCGATCCCCAACAGCAGGTCACACGTGCTGGTCGAAGCCTCGGCTTACCGTCGGCTCTCGGCGTCGGGGATTGCTCACATCTCGGCAGTTGTCTTTACTCCGCTCGACCCCGGAACGCATACGGCCATTCTTGACTCGTTGCGGGATTGGGGAGTGCAATTGTCAAGGGTGTGGAGTCAGATGCTCGCGCAGCGGTGGGAGAACATTGTCAATACCGACAGTATTGACATAAACGGCATTCGCCTCTCTTGGCACGCACCTGCAGTGCTCATCCCCGAACTTGTCCCCTTCCCGCGCCCCCAATGAACCGCTTCAGATTCTCTACCTTCAGCCTCCCCTCTACTTTTCCTCTCTTCTGGCAATCCGCACTCCATCCCCGCCTCTCTTTCTGTGTGCGTCGCTTATGCTTCCCAGGATCAAGCCGGAACAGTGGCTAAGGTGGTGGCAGACGTATGCGGCTATTTCGCTGTGCTTAGTCGATATCGATCTGACGTGGTGGAAGGATGGCGACCAGCCCGTAGTTAGTGAGAACGTCGAGCTGCTACTCATTCAAGCTTGGAAGACGGATGCAGAGGGGGATTTTCTAGGATTCGTCTTCGGATCAGTCGAGTCGGGCCATCGACAGACGATCGTAAACAAGCTGCTGATCCTTCAGACCGAGCTGCTAGACGACCTTCGGCTTGACGTCATCTCGCACTCCGACAAGAGTCCAGTACCACACATCCTCTCGCGCCGCCTGGTACTGTATCAGCAATGGTCAGCATGCCTGGAAGGCGACGATGACAACGCGTGTTACCCATCGCACAGCTACCCGGATCCCGGGAGGATTACGGACGCTCTCTTCAACCTGGTGAGCGGAGGAGAAGAGGAAGAAGGCGAGGAAGAGGACGAGGAAGAGGAAGAAAGCGAGGAAGAGACATCCGAAGAGGACGAGGATTATAGTGAGCATAGTGAGCGTGAGGCAGGGGTGGTGAGCAAAGAAGAAGAAGAAGAAGAAGAAGAAGAAGAGCGAGAGGAGGTCGAAGAAGAAGCGGCCGGAGAAGAAGAAGCGGAGCAGGCGAAAACCTCAAAGGAGGATCCGGAGGCAGAGCGGCGCAAGGCAGCCATCGCGGAAGGAAAGCGGCCATTGGAGTTGTTGGTGGGAGTTGATCTGCCTGTTCCGGACGACCCAACTAAAGATCCCGAGCCGCCAGCCAAGGAAGGTGAGCACCCTCATGCAGAGACTTCTGGCACGACGACGCGCAGGCGATCCCGCTCCCGTTCCCCTTCCCCCCGTCCCTCAGTTCGAGCTCGTGGCAATGCGGGACATCAGGCTACGTCCCCGTGTCCTATCCCGTCGTCCCCTTGGTTACATCACCTTCCGACAGATCGAAATTCCGCGCTCTTTCCCCTCCAATCCTTTTCCTTCTTCGACCTTTCACCAATTCTATGCCACCCACCTCGTCGCCGGCGTATATCCGCACCCCGCCGCCCAATGTGTCTCTTCTTCCTTCTATCTCCACGTCCTTCTGTTCAGCGCCGCGTGGCGAGACCAGGACGTCATTGAAGTCTACTGGATCATCACGGGAACTATCCCCGTGTGTGCAGATCATGAGCAGTTCCGTGCGGCGCTGTTTCGCACCTTCTCAACCCTCTATCCCGATTATCTTGCTTCCCTCCCTGAATGCGGAAATCGCTTCCCCCGCATCCATCGCATCATCAGATACCAGGAGCTCCCTGAAACGGTGATGGGGATGGCGAATTTTTTACCGCCTCTCCCGAACGATCCTCCCCCGCTTATCCTCGCCATCTTCCGACTCCCCCACCCGTGAAACGAGGGCGGCTCGAATGATGTGTCGAAAGGATGACGTCCACACTCTTATCCTACGGTAACGACACGTGTAATATTGGTGGGATTGTAATTTTTTTTCTCGCTTCCTTCTTTCTCCCTCTTCAAACTTGGGAAAGAGGTGGGTGCAAGCGGGAGCTTGCACATAATGGAACCCCCTGGGCGTCACATATGTGACGAACTACTTTCTGTAAGGCGCCATCTTCTGCGCTACTGGGATCGGGGGTACATAGAGGGATCGGGGATAAATTGCATGGCGGTCCCTCCTTCTTGATTTTTCAAAGTTTTCTCCTTGGTCCTTCGGGGAAGAGAAAGTGGCGGTTATGGACGTTGGGACGGTGGGCCCGCGCCTCAGCGAGCGCGGAGGGGGAACAACTTCGGCTATAACCTTTTTCTCTTTTTCTTTTCTTTCCTTTTTGTTTTCAAATAAGGCGCCCGTCTTTTTGGCGCGATGATCGCGTGGGTAATTCCGTCGGAATTTTTGAATTTAGAACGAGCCCCTGCAGGCTCTCGGAATTTCTTTTCGTAATTAGGAATTTAATTAGACTAGGAAATTGGGTGCTTCGGAATTTTTGCCAGTAAGTGCACACTGCCTTTTTCGTCGCGCTCGCTTTGCTGCACAAGGACCTGCGCTCTGTTCTCGCCGCACCTAAATTCTAATCTTAGCTGTAATCTCTTCTTGCTAACTGTAATCTTCCCCGTTCTTGAAATTCCCTTCCCGCGTCACTACATGCGCACTCTACATCCTATCTCATTGGCCCGATTGCTGCATGGTTGGATTGATGCGTGGAGTGAGGCTACGACCCCACGCCGCGGCCCAATCATGCACTCGTAGGGACTTCCCTTCTCCCTTCTTTCCTGTTCCCTGGCAATCCCGACTATCGCGCGCTGATTAGCAAGCTATAAATTCTGCAAGCGTGATTAATTCTCTCTCTAATCTACTTGGGAGTTAGCGCAGTCGAGAGGATCGGCTAACGTGCAGAAAGACGATGAGTAGAGAGTTGGGCGATCCGACGAGCTGGTGCTGAGTGCGCGGGGTTGACGCGTGGCCCCGAGGGACTGTGGCACGTGGACGAACCTGGCTTACACGCTCAGGCTAAGCGGGGTGACGACTCTGTGAGGTCTTTGGGATGCGCGGCGACGAACTGCCCGCATCGAGAGAGAGAGAGAGAGAGAGAGAGAGAGAGAGAGAGAGAGAGAGAGAGAGAGAGAGAGAGAGAGAGAGATGGGTTATGGTGGAACAATATCTTTTCCTCCCTCCTTTCTATATAAATTTTGATTCCAACGTTGGTCAATTTGGTTGCGGCACTTTTCGGATTTCCTGTGTGAATCTTCTCAAATCTCTTTGTTAGAATGCATGTATGTATGTATGGTGACGAACGATCTCGCATCCTTTTCTCGCAATTTGTCTTTGCTTGTTCATTTGTTTTGATCGATAGATTAGTGTCGTTTCAACTTTGTCGCCTTTTTTTTTTTTTTTGTATCGCAGCGCGTGTATCGATCTACGAATCGGAGCGCTCTCCGACCTGGTCGGCGCGCTCAGCCCGATCACTTGCAAAAGATTGGGGAAGTATGCCTACTCTTCGAATGTCTGATGGCCCGTTCCTCTGATGCACGAAAGTATAACCGGGGAGGGGCTGTTCAGGGAACGGGGTTGCATGCATAATCGGACCAGTGTGCCAACAGATTGCTCCGCCATTAGGACACACAGCTTAGGACTTAACTAATTGGCCAGTGCGTACGCGCATGGAGGACAGCAATCCATCAACGGATTTGCCATCTACACGGCCGCATGCAGGGGCTAGTTACGATCTTGCCACTTAGGAATGATGTGTGTGAGTGAGTCTCGTTGATCCGGATATGGCGATCGAAACTCCTTTTTGGATCACCGACCGCGAAAGCCTGAGAAATCCCGAGTAGCGGACATATTGGGAAAGGGAACAGATCCGACGACAACAAGTCCAACAGATCCGACGACAACAAGTCCGACAACAGCGGGTCAAACGGCAACAAAACTTGCAAAACCTTGATTACCCTTGCCGAACTGAACACGGGCGACTGTGTAGGGGCGATTTCCAGTTGGCAATCAACCGGGACTCCCGAATTCCCGAGTACCTTGACAGTAGACACCAGCAATACTTTGTCAGCCCAGGCTTCGTCGCTATCACAACTAATTTCCCTCCCCATTACGTTGTCCTCCCGTATCACCAATTCCTAGTTACCCCCTGGGACTCCATATCCCGATTCTGGCCCCGGCCTCCATGCCCCGAGTGCCAGCAGCCCAACGGGCACGAACAGACGGAGGCCACGCATCAGACTCCTCCCCGGAGAGAACGTCGAGAACCCAGCCCGTCCTCCTCGTCCGACTCTGACTCTGAGTTCTTCGTCGGACGACAGAGGTACGAGCATTCCCACAGCCACGCCCGCAACACCCCATTCGTGCACCCGACTCTTTCCCGGTCCCGGCTGCAGGAACGGCGCCCATCCCAGCTCTGAGCTAGAGAAACCACTTGCACTTCTATCCCTGAAACTTGAGACAGGAGATTCCAGTTCCGACCTGGAACTCCACCCCCACTTCCCAGAAATCCTTGGCACACCCCTTTTTTGCACTTCCAGGCCCACTCACACTCCGAGACAGGAAGTCGCGCTGGGCGTGAGGTAGGGCATCGCAACGCCATCAAACCGGGCGTATTCTTTTCAACTCCCCCTCCCCCCAGTTCCAAAACCCTACACCGCCCCTAGCCAAACAGAAATAGGGGCCTTGCCGCACCACTGCCGAATAGGAAAATTAGTTTTGGGAGTTCTCACAAGTCTTGAAACTCGCGGAATCCCGTTCGAGAGTGCTACACTTCGCTCTCGAATAGGGCGCTCCTGATTTCAGAAATTGACAACAAGTGCTGACAAGTTTCCAATTTCTAATTCCAGTATTGGGAAGGGCTGCAGTTTCCTGGGGTGCAGTCAGAGTGACGGGAATGGCATGTTCTGGTTAAAGAGGTGTTACCATACTAATCCTCCAGGGAACAGGGCTAGGACGCTACAAATGTGGAGCGCTAGAAAGGGACGGACTCCAAGCAGGAATTATAACGACTGTAGCCCCAGACACTGTATGGCAACTATGTTTCTAAACCACCAGTACTTGGCCCGCCCAGCTATCCGTCGCGTGCGTTTGACGTGTTAACGCGCCAGTAGTTGCAGGCTTTGGGGGACCGAACCACAATGGCTGGAAGCGCACAGCCAAAATGAAAACTAATCGGTGCCCCGGCAGCTCGGCAAAATTTGGCACGCAGGGGGCATCCCGGCTCGGCATCGATAGCTGGGCCAAGTACTGGCGAGTCTGCAGTGGTGGTTTTAAGGGATGCTGGACACAGTTTCCAGCAGCTGTTGCGCCCCACCAATAGACGGAGCAGACTAACAAACAGGCCCTCAATCCCCGTGGCACTCCTACGGCGATTGGGATAGCGGGCTTGAAATAAGGTCTTTCTTGCAAAAATAAGAAACAAAAAAAACCCTCTTGTCCTTTTTTTTCAAAAAAAGGAAAAAAGAAGGGGCAACGTCCTTGAGATATTATCATTGAGCTGACCGTCCCCAAGCAATTTATGAGTAGTTGGTTTTACTCGTCAAGTTCCATCATCTGGATTCGAACACAGGTCTGTATTTCAACAGTTCATGGGTGTACCCACTGAGCTAGGCTCTTGGGTCCTCTTGTCCTTTATGGTCGAGTCCGGACTCTTTTTTATAGAAGAGGATAACTAACGACGCCGGGGACCTCACAGAAAGGATATTCAAGACCGAACTCGGAGGTTGGCAGGTGGGCCCGAGGTCTCTCGAAAATAGCAATTTGCAGGCGGGCACAGAAAAGAAACTCGGACAACGGCACAAAAAGGAAAATCAGGAAACTCGGCAGTACTTGCGGGCCCACTCCTTCGACAGCTCTAGAACTCATTTTCAGAAGTACTCTGCGGGCCCACTCCTCCGACAGCTCTAGAACTCATTTCCAGGAGTACTCTGCGGGCCGATCCTCTGATAGCTCTAGAACTCACTTTCGGGAGCTGAATCTGAGAGCATATGTGGCCATGCCGCACTCACAAAAACACCGATTTCGAGGTAGTGGTGTGGCGAAGCCCTACCCTCTGACAGCTCTAGAACTCATTTTCAGGAGTACTCTGCGGGCCTATTCCTCCGACAGCTCTAGAACTCATTTTCAGGAGTACTCTCAAGGCCGCTCCTCTGAGAGCTGTAGAAATCACTTCCGGGAGCTGAATCTGAGAGCATATGTGGCCATGCCGCACTCACAAAAACACCAATTTCGAGGAAGTGGTGTGGCAAAGCCCTACCCCTCCAAAATGTGCAACAGCAGGTCACTCCAAAACCGGAGGACACCAAATGAAATCCCGCCCATGAGCACTGAGCAGTAAAAAGACTGAGAATCCAGGTTGCTGAGTCCATCCATGGGAATGGGAGCCTTCCGCTCATTGCTGTCCGTACCGTCCGTACCGCCCAGTATCTGACCAGGTCGTTTTTTACTAATTGTTGCAAAAACAGTTGTATTTCAACCATCCAACAGCCTAGCCCAGTTGGTTAGGCACGCGAGTGGCATTTAGGAGGGTGTGGGTTCGAGCTTCACAGCCGTCTGTGGTGCACTTAGTGCCAACTACGGATATGTCTGATCGGTATTAGCAAGGTCCTTGGCCAACACAGGTGTGAGTGTAAGTGGGTTGGGGCGGGGGCAACCGGACCACCACCATGGTTGGGGCGGGGGCCAATATTCGGCTGGAGGGAGACAACAAACCTATGTTCGCAGGGGTCCTCAGGAGTAGTACATAGGTAGGCAGGTAGGTAGTGAAGGTGAACTGAAAGAATTTGAAAGCTACCCCTCAGGAGTAGTACATAGGTAGGCAGGTAGGTAGTGAAGGTGAACTGAAAGAATTTGAAAGCACCTACATAGGTAGCGAAGGTGAACTGACAGAATTTGAAAGATGATGAGAGATTTGAGACAAGAAACAGTGAAAAAAAAAAAAAAAAAAGCCTAACCGTGCATTCATTGCACGCGGGCTTTCCGCTCAATTGTTTAACAGAAACAGAAACACTCAGACACACACACACCCCGCCCCGCTCAATTTTTTGACGGAAAAACACACACACACACACTGCAGCCAACAGCGTTCAGACGCCCCCCCCCCCCCCCCCCCCCCCCCCCNCCCACACACACCAGCCTACAGCATTCAGACGCGCTGTGCTGGAGAGAGAGAGAGAGAGAGAGAGAGAGAGAGAGAGAGAGAGAGAGAGAGATTAAAAAAAAAATGAATGCCGTTCAAATTTGAATGCGAATTTGAGTTCGCGTTAAAACGGTTACATTGGAATCGGCTTGTTTAATTACTTCTAATAACAACGTTAACCGTGCGTTCATTGCACACGGGCTTTCCGCTCATTTTTACACACACACACACACACACACTCCGGGCCACAGCGTTCAGACGAGGCCCCACACCGCGGCCTACACTGCCCTACAGCATTCAGACGCGCTGTGCTGGAGAGAGAGAGAGAGAGAGAGAGAGAGAGAGAGAGAGAGAGAGAGATTAAAAAAAAATGAATGCCGTTCAAATTTGAATGCGAATTTGAGTTCGCGTTCAAACGGTTACATAGAAAAACGGTTACAGTGGATTCGGCTTGTTCAACTACTTCTAAATCCAAGTTTTTTTTTTGTTTTTTTTCCACATTCAATACCATTTCAGAACGTCACTTGAAACGAGGCCGGGGACCTCACAATTCACCCCGGAGTTATCCCGGCAGCATCAGCCGGTTTCGCTTCCGAGTCTCCAGAACCCAGTAGTGTCTAAGCTGACTACTACAAGATGCATACCCAACTCCCAACTCCCCTCCTACCAGTTCACAGACCTAGCAGCCGGTCCGAACTCGGCGCAAACCGACCTAGAGGAACCCCTGTTCCTTTTTGGTAACTGTCTCTCTCCCTGGCCCTAACCCTTACGGTCTACTGTGGCCGCCGACTGGAACTGAGTCCGCCTGCGGTCTACTTCACAGGACTACGGTTTTCGACATGGGACCAGAGATTCGAGGGTAAAAAATTTAAATCATTACAAAAAAGACGCGGGTTGAGGGTATGTGGCAATGGTCTACAAAGGGCCCATTCTGGAACAAATTTGGTGCGAGCCCGTGAGAGTGGTGAGATCTTCAAAGGAGCCTCACGCTCCATTCTGAAAACGATGGGGCTGATTCGTACAAAAATATGGATTGCTAACTTGTCTTTCTGTGCTTTGTGGATGTAGTGACAACCCGTAATCTTAGACGCCACGCTCTCGTCATCAAGCGGCTTCACCACCATAGCCATCGCTTTCGTCATCAAGCCGTCACTGATGAAGATGGCAACGTGACCACCGCGGCCTCGCCGCCATAGCCATCGATTTCGTCATCATTGCAGTCTTGACTCAGTTGCCGGCAATAGCCGAAGAGCGATCCCCGGAGAGGATGAAGGGAGCAAAAGAGGAAAAGTCGGCGACGGGCAGAGAAAACTGCAGGGAACTATATCATAGTATGATCATACCACTAGCGTATCAACTGATTACACACCGGCCTCGCCACCCGCAGGTTTAAAAAGCAAAAAAGGGGGCAAGTACGTTGACGTCACAACGTTTTGGATCAGCAAGAAAAAACACACTCCCGAGGTAAAGGAAGCAATGAAAGTACCGCGGTGGTGACAGAGGGACAAGTGTTATAACTACAGGGGAGGGGCGCGCGGTGGTGCCAGACGGGAAAAGGGGGGAAAAAAGAAAAGAAAACGAAAAGCCAGCGGATCTACTTCGACTCAAATTGCCGTTTCAAACTCCCGCCGTGAGGAGAGTAGCGTTTAGTGTATTTTCGCGATCAGGAACGCGAGACCTGCCGCGCCCGTACTTGTTTCAAAAAAGGAACAAAAATAGACCTTATGAAATACAAGCCAGCGCGCACTTCATCCATCGACATGCAGATTCGTTTTCTTCCAACTGCAAACGACACAATTCATTGATTGAGAAGTACAAGCAAACCTAGTGCTGCTGTACCCCTCAGCGCTACTGATGATGGCGATGGACCTGGTGCTGCAATGGCTGCTGCAGTGGTGGGACGTTGCATCCCGATGATGTTTTATTCGCTCCTGCTGCAGTCCCTGCTCGTAGGTAGGGCTACATCCGACTGGGCACCTAGCAATGGCTTTTGCGGAAAACAGACGACCCCTCGCTAAGGGCGAGCACGAGATCCACGCCATCGAGGCCCGTTCGACTGATGATATGGCCGATAAGCTTCCTCTTACACTCCTCATTGAGCTTCTGGACCTCCACGGCCAGCTGCGTGGCGTAGGCCTTCACCCCCTCATCCTCGCCTGCCAAATAGTAAAGCGCAACGATCATCCTTTCCTGCTCCAAGTCCAGACGAGCGCATGCGATAGGTGGCCCAAAAGCAACAGGAGCAGGACAGGTAGGCCGAGACGCGGGAGCAGCTGGCTTCGGCTTGTCCTCCACGCACGAGGTCTCGAGAACCAGCTCCACGATGGACATCTTCACCTTCGCCACCAACTCTGCCACCGATCTGGCCATTTCGGTGTCTTTGGCGGCAACAATTGCAGATTTCACTGCAGCCAGCCCGCCCAACGCGTATATTTTGCCATAAACCTCCTGCTTCTCCTTGCCTGTAAGCTCCCTGAATAAGTTGCAAGCGGAGGAACTTCCGGCGCACAGCACTTGCGAAATGATATCCTGCTCCGCAAATTTCTTCAGCTCGTCGAGGAGGTCCCGGTCACGCGCAATCACTGCGGCCAACCTCAGCGAATCTAGCCCACCCTCGCCAAGCAACCTACCGTAGAGCTCCAATTTCGTCATGGCCGACAACGTGCTTGCTTCCTTCACCAATCGGATACAGATGTCGTAGCCCCTCAAGCCCGCGATGGAAACTATATCGTTGAGGGCGGTCCTTCCCGCTTTTGTAGCTATGACGTCAAAGTCAGTCACGCTAGGACAGGAGGGCTTCTCAGGCTTCGGCAAGCAAACCTCCGGAGGGGGACATTCATCCAAGTACCCCCCCCTGCAGAGGAACAGACTGAGGTCGTTGACGACAGAAGTCGACTGTTTAAGGAAGACGGAGTCCTTCGCAAGCGACACGGCCAATCGAACGGCCTCGAGACCCGCTTCAGCGAAGAGCTTCGAGTAAATCTCCCATCTGTCAGAGACGGACAGGGAGTGGGAAAGAAGCCTCACCGACAGCTCGTAGCCTGTGCAACCAGCAAACACCACGATCTGGCGCAATAACTGCTGTTGCTCAACTGCCTTCTCAGCAGTGCAATGGAACATTCCGCTCGCTGAGGACGATAGCTTCCTCCCCAGTGCGACCAATTCCTCCAAAAATAAGCGATCGCGAGCGAGTTTCGCGCCAGCCGCCAGAACCTCAACGCCACCCAGTCGGAGGAGGTCCGCGTATACGCTCTTGCGCTCCTCGGCGCTCAAAAACTTCCACTCCTTAAGGATTTTCACACCCAGATCATAGCCGGCGATGCCCGCCCGCAGGACAAGGATATCCAGGAGCTTCCGCACAGCCGTGGAAAGCTCTGCCTCGGGAACAGGGGGAACAGCTGGGCAGCAGACGCTTGATGCAACGGCCGCGGCCAGCAACTCCACGTAGTTCACCTCACTGCCCAACACAGCGGCCGCCTTGACGGCGTCCAGCCCGCCCTTCGAGTACAGCGACTTGTATATGCTCTTGCGTTCTTCCACTTCCAAGGTCGCCCACTGCGACTTCACCTTCATTCCGATCTCGTACCCCTCCACTCCCAACTTGCACACGAGATCCCGGAGGCTCTCCTCCGCACTCTTCAGGTCCTTCAGGGCCTCGCCGGTGGCCAGCACGTACGTGGAGACAAACGTCCCAGGAGGGAAAACCAGCGCGGAGATCGCCACGTCCGAGCTCAGCAACTCCGGAAGAACAGGGTACGCACGGATCTCCACCAGCGTCGCGATCTTGTCGATGATCTGCTGCTGCACATCACGTGTCAGGTTGCTGTTGCACGCGATCACCGTGGCCAGGTCACGGACTTTTTCTACTTCGCCCACTCCCAACCCATACCTCGCCAGCAAGTCCACCGCATTCTTCTGTCGCACCGTCAGCGAAACACCGCCCCCTACCTTGGGCTCGCAAGGATCCTTGTGGAAGGTTCCTGCAGGGAAAATCAAACCCTTCGGCGGCTCTGGCACGAACAACGCGGGAAGGCACGGCCTTGCTGCGATCTTCACCAATCTAACGACCTCATCGAGGAGGCTCTGCTTGTGGTCCAAGTCTGACGGACACGGTTCCACAAGCTTCAACAGCATGCCTCGCACCAGTTCACGATCGCAGATATTCTCCACCAGGTCAGAGATCTTCTCCACCGTGGCGATTTGGACGGCAGTAAGGCATGCCTGGGGAAGACAAACCGAAGGGGCTGGAGCAGGCGCAACACATTTCTCGGGGAACTTCAAACCCGCAGGCGCCTCCTTGGCAAAGATCAGCTTCAAGGCAAACCACCCGTCCGCCTCCACCAGGGTGGCGATCTCGTCGATGATTGCCTGCTGCGCAGTGAGCCCGATGCCAGCACAGCCTGCGAGCTTCGTGACCATATCCTTCACCTTCGTGGCATCCGTGGAGCATTTCACGTAGCTGACAATCCTACTCACGAAGTAGCTCTGCCGACCGTCAAGCTCAACAAAGGCCGGTGGGGAAGGGGGAGGGGGCACACATGCCTGAGTGGGAAGCGGTGCCGGTGGCGGCGTGCACGGATCCGCGCAGACAGAACCGGGAAGTTTGAGACCTGCGGGTGGGCGAGCATCACCGAACAGCTCAGCGATCAAGCCGTATGCCTTCGGTTGAACAAGAAACGAAAGCTGGTCCACAAGTCTCTGATGGTCGGCAAGGGCGGCGCACTGGGAGAGGGCAATTCGCGTCGCCAAAACCTCGACGATATGCTCGCAATCGCCAGATACCACGTGCTTCTTAAGATAAGCGATCGAGAGCTCCTGGAGGCGTGTCAGGCATAGCGGTGGCGGACATGCTGGTGGGCAGAAAGGCTGTGACGGACAGGCTGGCGGGCACACAAACGGTAGTGGGCAGACAGGCGGTGGTGGGCAACCAGGGATCGCAGGAGGAGGTGGGATGAAGCAGACATTCGCACTCGGGCGGGAACACTTGACCCAGTAACTCAGCGAATATCGAGAGCATTTCTCAAAGACAACCTCCCCCAAACACTCAACTGTTTGGAGGAAGCGCTCATCACCCGCAAGCTCCGCACCCAGCTTCACTGCGTTCACACCTCCCGCCGTGAACAACGACTCGTAAATGACNGGCGCAACACATTTCTCGGGGAACTTCAAACCCGCAGGCGCCTCCTTGGCAAAGATCAGCTTCAAGGCAAACCACCCGTCCGCCTCCACCAGGGTAGCGATCTCGTCGATGATTGCCTGCTGCGCAGTGAGCCCGATGCCAGCACAGCCTGCGAGCTTCGTGGACATATCCTTCACCCTCGTCGCATCCGTGGAGCATTTGACGTAGCTGACAATCCTACTCACGAAGTAGCTCTGCTGAGCGTCAAGCTCAACAAACGCGGGTGGGCAAGGGGGAGAGGGCACACATGCGTGAGCGGCAGGTGGTGGCGGTGGGGGCGTGCACGGATCCGCGCAGACAGCACCGGGAAGTTTGAGACCTGCAGGTGGGCGAGCATCACCAAACAGCTCAGCGATCAAGCCGTATGCCTTCGGTTGAACAAGAAACGAAAGCTGATCAACAAGTCTCTGATGGTCGGCAAGGGCGGCGCACTGGGAGAGGGCAATTCGCGTCGCCAGAAGCTCGACGATATGCTCGCAATCGGCAGATACGACGTGGTTCTTGAGATAAGCGATCGAGAGCTCCTGGAGGCGTGTCAGGGAGGGAGGTTGCGAACATGCTGGTGGGCAGAAAGGCTGTGGCGGACATGCTGGCGGGCACACAAACGGTGGTGGGCAGACAGGCGGTGGTGCGCAGACAAGGATCGCAGGAGGAGGAGGTGGGATGAAGCAGACATTCGCACTCGGACGGGAACACTTGACCCAGTAACTCAGCGAATATCGAGAGCATTTCTCAAAGACAACCTCGCCCAAACAGTCAACTGTTTGGAGGAAGCGCTCATCACCCGCAAGCTCCGCACCCAGCTTCACTGCGTTCACACCTCCCGCCGTGAACAACGACTCATAAATGACGACTTGCTCGTCTACTGTCAGCTTCGACCAACCCTCTCTGATCCGAGTAGCGATATCCAGACCGGTGACACCCAAAGCACAGACCAGATCCCTCACGATACTATCGACCGTCCGCGGAGGTCCGCAGACAGGATGCGGCTCCGACGGCGCCGGGCAGACGACGGGAGCGGGCGGCGCAGGCACGGGCGGAAGGAACTTCTTCTGCTTGCCGTCGGCATCAACGGATGCGAACACGGGCTTCTGCAAAAATCCAGCATCGTAGAGCGCTTGCGTAGTGGCGGAGAGAAGGCTGTCATTCGTGATATCCGTGCCGTTGGATGAGTTGCTGATGGCGCCATAGAAGTAATAACTGAAAGCGCCCACAGCTTTCCCTTCGATTTTCGCGTCCCAGCTCGGCTGTCGTTCGTCGCTGGCAAACCAGGCACAAGGAGTAGCGAAGCACCTGTCTCGAAGAGGATTCCCAGATTTCAACGCCGCGAACCTCCCGTCCTCCTTCAGCTTCCTGTAGCCCGCCCTTACGCCGACATTCTCGAGGCCCCTCGTCCTCACAGCCTTGTTCAGCAGGCTGCGACACGTGTAATGGTGAACAGCTGCAACAGGACAGCGGACAAGCGAAGCAAGAAGAAGGCAAGTTGCACAAGGTCAATTCCCCGCTAGATTCAAAAAGAAAAAATAACAACGGTGAAAATTTTGTGCATTTGGATCGCATTCTGGACCACGTTGTTTTGCTACCATCATTTCTCTCGTCTCTTTTGGATCCTGTCCTTCCCAATCTGTACGGGAATCCATCTTTTGGGTTATGGTAGATCAGGTGGACGAACTGTGATAATGCCCATCACACATATTGCTGCTCTCACAAAGCAATAGTCATCATTAGTGTGACATAATACCTTTCTTCGGCCTGTTGGCAAAGATCAAGTGTCGTGTCTGTTCTGATCAGTTAAATATCTGATCCGTGGTCCGTCGGGCCACACACAAAAAAAAAAAAACGTTGTAACATTTTTCACGTCACTGACGAGAAGCGGTCGGCTCGTTTACTCCGTCCTCGTCCATGTCTTAAAAAAAGCAAAAACCAAAAAAAAAAGCGGAAAAGAGTGACGGCCTTGAGATATCATCATTGAACTGACCGGCCCTAGGTAATTCAGAAATTACCTCATTCTTTTCATCTCGTAGTTTCTGGATTCCACCTTATGTAAGTTATATTTCAACAGTTTGATGGATGTACGAACTGAGTTAGGCCTGTTGGTACCTCGTCCATGCCTTTTTTTTTTCCCTTTCCTCGTCCATAAGTTCCCTTTTGAGCTCAAGATCAGTGTCCTACGTTTCGTTTCATTTTTTTTTCCCTCAAATTGCAGGGCAATGGCCCCAGAAAATTCCGAATGATTTTATTCTGGTTATCTAGTTTCATCTGGATTCGAACTCAAGTCTGTACTTCAACATTCCATGGGCAATCCAGCTAGGCCCGTCGGTTGCTTGAGATAATGAGAGTATACTCGCACTACGCGAGATGAATTCCTCCTTTTACAAGGACCTGATCTGGCCGCCGATTTTGCGATTTTTCGATTCTGCTATTATAAGGGCCTAACGTCTCACCCAAACATAACGCCCGGCCTTTTTAGCTGTGTTTGGGGCATTTTTCAGCAAAGACAAAAACCCAATTCTGTAAAGAAAAAGGACCCCAGTTACGATTTAGAACTTGCCACTTGTCCCCCCCCTTGCAGAAGTACTAGACTACGAGTAGCAGGACCGCATGTAGTATGATACAAAACTGTCCCCATGTCCCATTTGCAGGGGTGAAGTCCCACTAGCAAAGGGGGGATTGGATTGAATGTCAGAATCTGGACGTGTTTGGATACAGGTGCAGAAAACGGCGATTCGTCTGCTCTTCTAAATCCTCTAGCACACGTTCCTGACATCAGATCTCAACACCGCACGGCGCACTGTGGTCACGTTGGAAATTGAACGAAAGGAAGACTAAACACCCGCTAGAGCAACTTAGCCCCGCGGCTCTTCATCGTTTCCATCGCGCTCCAACGCGTCCGGTTGCGACATGTCCCTGCGTTAAATATGTATGTATATAAAAGAACGAAAAATAATCATCATCATAATAATATTAAATGGCCACGTTGGAAAATGCTCGAAAGGAAGCCTACCGTCTTCCCCCGAATACAACGTCCGGTCATTATAGCTGTATTTAGACTGAAAGATACCCCAAATTCAACTATAACGACCGTAAGTTGTATTCGGGGGAAGACTTCCATCGCCCTCCATCGCGTCCGGTTGCGATATGTCCCTGCGTTAAATACGTACGTATATAAAACAACGAAAAATAATAATAAAAATAATAATAATATTAAATGTCCACGTTGGACTTTTTCGACTCCTCCGTCGACATAATCCTTTGCCGGAATTACGGTCGGATACATCTAGTAACGTACTCGAGTGTGAATGTACGCTGGTGACCGGACATGGAAATTTGACGACATTCGGCTTTTCATTCCTCCTCTCATAGGTCTTCTTGCGACTGCGGGTTTCCCATTAAGGGTTTATTTGGTTATGCGTAATTTGATTCTCCCTGGAAGTTTCTCTTCCGTGTGAATCGAGCGATCGAATAGATAAACGGCATATTTCGGGGAAAAAAAAAAAAGAAAAGGTGATGGCATTGGTTTTAGGGGTGGGAGGAATTTGTGTTTGAGAGATTCAGGGCATACTCACACTTGGTAGCACTTTCCAAAACGCATCTGACCGCAATTTCGGCCAGACCTGGATACATCTCACTGCAATCACGTTCACCCATGGCTTCGTAGAAAAAAAACTCCTACCGCCTTCACCCGAATACAACGACCGGTCATAATAGTCGTATTTGGTGCAATTATCAGTCCACATACAGCAATAATGACCACTCATTCTATTCGGGCGAAGACGGTAGTGTGAGTAAACCCTGATTGTCGTGGGGGCGACCGGTCATAATAGTCGTATTTGGTGCAATTACCAGTCCACATACAGCGATAATGACCGTTCGTTCTATTCGGGTGAAGACGATAGTGTGAGTAAACCCTGATTGTCGTGGGGGCACAATTCGAATTTCGTTTCATTCGTTGAGGAACTTTTGAGGCGGCAAAGTTCCACTTGGGCAGATTCTTCATTATTGTTCTTTTGGGACATCCGTTAAAATTGAAAGGATGACACGAATAAATCGATCAATGGTCTACATTTTTAAAAACCTAAAAAAAAAAAAAAAAAACAGGCATGGACGGTAGATTTCCTTTTGATCGTATACTGACAACCACAATCGTTTTTCACCCCAAAAAAAAGAAAAAAGAATTGTCTTTAGAATCGATGGTCGGAAATCTAGCATTCAGGTAAATGGGACTTGAGCCCGGGTTTCCCATTTGAAAAGTCCAGGCGTTCGGCGGCCATAGTTTTTCCTTTTTCTTTATGTGGTCCGATGGACCACGGCGCAAATGAAAATTGATAGGTCAAGTACCTACACTTTGATAAATCAAGCCTGAGCCTGGAGGCACGAAGTGTCGATTAGATCCCAAGCGAAACGCTTGAGCTTCCAGTCGCCTGGAAGTTCAGACTGTATCATCATCCCATCTTATATATATGGGATGTCTGGCGTGCAGTCGTTGACGCTTTACTGATCAGAACAGATTCTACGCTTGATCTTAGACAAAAGGACGAAAATCGGAACGGGTATGGTCTCTCTTTGCCATCTGTTCGGCGAGGAGTGTTTGGCGTTTCGTTGCCAAAGTATAAGAAGGATTGTGCCTTGTTTTGATCAGCAGCTTCCAAATTAGTCTTTCTTCGGAAAAAAAAACAACAACAAAGAAAAGCAAAATCAATCGAGCCCGCAATCAGGGGAACCTTGCGCTGGGCATTCATCCATCAGCGCATACACAGTGTTGAAACATCACATTCATATCATCCACATTGACATGTTATAATACTAAAGTCGTCTTCCCCTCCTCCTCCTCCTCCTCCTCCTCCTTGTTTTGATTGCGGTATCATGACATGCCAATGTGCACGCTATAAATGCCATGTTTCAACACATGCATCCATCAGCGCATACACAGGACAGAGGGCTACCGTTTTGCCGCGAATTGAGAAAACAAACGCTCATCCTCGGCGCACTTGGGGCAGCTCTCACCTGGGAAACAAAGGAAAAAAGATTAATGACCGTGTGTCCTGTTTGGGGGAAGATGGTGGAAGTGCCACGTGGCCCGACTATTCGTTTCCCGCCGTCGATTTCAAGAGTCGACGGAAGCAAATGGAGAATCTGTGAAACACAGACCCAAGTTTGAACCCAGATCCAATCAGATGAACAGAATGAGATAATTCAGCTGGAGAATTTGTGAAAAAGGTCCAGAGAGGCCGAAAACTGCACTACCACTGAGAGTCGCGAATCAGAGCCATCACCGCTTGCTGAGGGTTTACATCAGGTAATACCCCCTGTGCTCGCAGGCAGGTCTCAAATGAAACTTCAAGCGACGCGCAACAGAGCATAAAACGAAAGCCAATGGCACTGCAAGTAACAAAAAGAGGGGGGGGGGGGGAAGGGAAGAAAGCATCCACGAAAGCGAGCGCTGTTCTGGAAGACCCTCCTATGCACACAGCCTTGTAGTGGCGCGGGGGCGGAGGGAACCGAAATAAGGAAAACTAACGGTGGGCTCCAAAGCACAAAGAGAAGCAGGATCTGCAGACTGCTGATTAGTTGCACTTCGGGGGGGGGGTGCGGGAAGAGAGGGGGGGGGGGGGGGGGGGGGGGGGGAAGAGAAGGAGAAGGACGAAGGTAGTGATGTAAACTGGGTAAGGTGGATGGTCCCACCACTCGTCACCCGCCAAACGCTCAATATGTTGAATGTATACAGACGGATGCCGAGTGCAGATACGTTCATTGCGGCGAGAGCTTAATTGATAGGAACAGTCACTCACCTGCCGCACATTCATTGTCAGCCCTGAATCCAGTGTCGAACACGAAGACAACAGTAACGCCCTTCGGAACACAGTCGAACTTCTCCAAGAACGCATCATGCGTGATGAAATTCCTGAAACCGCTAGCTTCGCACGTCGCGTCCACCGGCAGGATGACCTCCTCCAATCCTTCGAAGGAAGCCTTTGACGGAACCTGGGACCCATAGCCGGAGAAATGCACGTACAAAATGTCGCCCTCCCGCGCGCCTTTCACCAGCCAATCAAGAGCGGCCAACAAATTAGACTTGGTGGGCGAGAGAGCGCCGCCCTTGTAGACGCACGGATCATCGACAAGCACAAAAAGATCCGACTCGGCGAAGCCATACGATAACGTCAAAACCGATTTCGCTTGCAGGACATCGTGCATAGGACCGTCCAGAGTCGGAATCTGTCGGTTGTCGGCATAGCTGATGCCGATGAGAACTGCCTTGCGCGCCATCTTCACTCGCACAGAGCTCTGCTAACGAAACGAACTCTTCCCCGCAAACGGGAGCAAGACGGCCAATGTGGGTAATGGCGTTTCCTCCTCCCTTGCCTTCCTTTCCCCTACCTCGTCTGGGCTCTCCTCCTCTACCTTCCAACCTCCCCCTCCCTTGGCTTTGGCTTTCCTTCCCCTCGTACCTCGTCTGAGCTTTCCTCCTCTACCTTCCGACCCGCACGGTGAGCAGCCCACAGCCTTTCACTCACTGCCACTCTAAAGGCCACTGCGAGCTTCGATCTGCCACCTTCAGGGGTTAGGTCATGTCGATATATATGCCCTGACGAAGGTGTTCGAATGGTGTTGGAATCACAGGGAATTCCGAGGATTCGTGCTGGAGACGTTCACAGTACTGGGCTCGCCCAATGACTCACCACACGCACAAAATTCGAAAAATATGCAAGTGCATCTTCAATTGTTCTAGGGAAATATTCATCTTAGTGCATCTTCAATTGTTCTAGCGAAATATTCATCTTCGTTTTTGGACCATTTCTCGATTTATGCGTGTCATCCTTGCGCTTTAGTGAGCACTGGAGCGAGGCCCTAGAGGGCACTACTGAGTTTTCCAGGCGTGTGGTTGGAGACCCCAATTTCAGGGGCCTCCAACTGGAAAAAAACACCGCACGCGGGGCAGGCCAATGCCCGCTCATTATATTACATTATATATATATATATATATCGTCAAATAGAACTGCCCGGTAAACCGTAGGCAGAGAGGGAGAAGAGGGCAACAAACGAGGGGTATATACATATGTATATATATATATGTATATATGAGTTCCCTCGGTCAGTACTGGTGGCGGCCCGAGAACGGTCAAATGCAGCCATTCCGAGTACTACTCTCCACATGCACAAAAGACAAAATATTGAGGTGTACCTGTGCATGTTCTAGCAGAATATTCACTATCATTTTGCAGTACGCCCCGCTGGCGCTGTCAAAACGCTGACGCCGAAAACGCCGTACGCTGGGACGCGCTGTCTCTTTGTGTTTTCTTTTTTTTTTAAACCAAATATGGTATATTACCATTACCAATTACCGATGAGAATTGAGGCGAGACACCCACCTGCACACCCACACACATGCACGCACTTTTCTCTCGTCTCCTGTCCTCTCTCTCTCTCTCTCTCTCTCTCTCTCTCTCTCTCTCTCTCTCTCTCTCTCTCCTGTCCACTCTTCTTTCTCGTTTGTCCTCTCTCTCTCTCTCTCTCTCTCTCTCTCTCTCTCTCTCTCTCTCTCTCTCTCTCCTGTCCACTCTTCTTTTTCGTTTGTCCTCTCTCTCTCCTTCTCTCCTGTCCTCTCTCTCTCTCTCTCTCTCTCTCTCTCTCACAGTCCATCTTGACGAGTTGGTCCTAATCTGTCTTCTTTTTCTTTTCATTTTGTGTTTTTTCGACCCCCTTGTTGGCGATGTGTGTTCCTTGTGCTTCACCTTTTCTCTCCATCAAGTTAAGTCAAAAGTTCTTGAAAAAAAAAAAAAAAACAGAATTGAGGCGAGGATCCTCGCTGTCGCCAATCTCGAAAACGCGGCCTTAAAACAAAAAAAGAAAAGAAAAAAAATAAAGAAACAAAAAAAGAAGAAGGAAAACGCGGCCTCGTCAACGCCGACATCGGGCCTAGGTCTACTCTCGAAATGTGCAAAACAAGGGCCTCGCTGCACTACGCTTGAAATGCACAAAAGACAAAATTCATGGCCGTGTATCTTTCCATATTCTAGCGGAAGATTCACTCTCGTTTTGCACATTTCGAGAGTAGTGCAGCGAGGCCCCACGAGTGCATTTTCCCCTAAGACATGGTTTTGTCTTGTGCATGTCGAGAGTAGTGGAGCGAGTCCCATCCCTCAAGTGTCCTCAACTGAATTGGCCCTCGAACCATTGATGATTCATTTCATACACCGGGCCCACCGATTCCGCCAACGTTTTGCATGCATCGGAGGGGCCAACCGCTATCCGCCAACGTTTTGCATGCGTCAGAAGAGCTCGAGTGCCGAGATTCATTTAGAATGTTGGCGGATGGCGAGTGGTGCAATTACGCCCATGTTCGTTCCTACGTTCGTTCCCAAGCGGGAAATTGACGAAATTCAAAAAACCCTCCAAGCATTCGTACCACAAGTACAGTCGAAAACGCGTGGATCTTCAGGCTCTATACAGGGGAACCCTCCAAGCATTCGTACCAGAAGTACTTAGTACGTGGCCATCGATCCGCCGAGCGACGGAGAAAGCTATAGATGGCCGTGTCAAGCTGAGGGCGAGCGAGGTAACAGATGTCCCGGACGCGGACAATATAATCCTCGCTGGGGACTTCAGACAACTGGTGGACACCTTCAGACAGCTCCATCCTGACACACCGGGATTCACCTGGTTTGGAACAGAACCTGAAGATCAACCAGCACCACCCAACAGAAGATTGGACCTGATTCTCTCAAAGGGCAAGGCATGGGAAGCGTCAGTGCAGAGGTAGACACACATCCACTCTCAGACCATAAACCGGTCAGAGCTGTACTCCGGCTGGGCTTCGGAATTCGCAGAGAACCGGGAGTTTTCAGACTGAATACAGAGAACCTCAAGAATCAGGAACTGCTGGATTGGTGCGGAAGGCACTGGGAGGATTGGGAGAAGACCAAACATTGGTTCTCCACAGAAGAGGAATGGGTACAAGTAAGATTCAGAATCGTGACCAGGGCCATGGAGGTGTTTTCTCGGATCCTGGCCAAAGGGAGGAGACAAGAAGAAGCGGAGTGCAGAAATAGGGTGGAAGAGGCTGAGTATCACATCGGACAGGACCCAATACAGACCTGTATTGGGAAAGGAGGAGGGATACTTGCATGAGGAAATGGGAAGAAATCCAGATCGACCAACAGGAAACATGGGCAAGGAGAGCGAAAGAAAGGGGCATGACCCAAGTCGATCGGATTACAAAGGAGACTTTTCAGCGTTTGTGTCCACCACGACCCCATTCCCTCATCCGTGCCTTGGTACATCCGTTCAACGCGCAGGCAGATCTGGCCACAGATACAGCAACCCTGGCAGAATACACTCTGGACTATTACTCGGATATCCTCACATCCCGCAGGCTCCCGGACGAGTCACTTCAAGCACTTCGAGAAGAATCGGATATATGGCAAGCTTCAAACCGGTCACTCGAACAGCACCAGAGGCTAGCCTTGGACAGACCTATATCGCTAGAGGAACTTCACGCAGCAGCAGCAAGCATGGCCAAGGGGAAAACTCCCGGAGATGACGGACTTCCGGTAGAATTCTACTTGGCCACGTGGAACCAAGTAGGACCAATCCTCTTGAAGCTGTTTAACAAGGTTCTAGAGGGTGGCAGTCTAACAGAAGATATGTGCAGAGGAGTAATTACGCTCCTATACAAAAAGGGAGAAACAAAATGTTAGAAATTGGCGCCCTATTACCCTGTTAAACGTGTCCTACAAGCTGCTGGCTAAAACCTTAGCCAGGCGGCTTGCACAGTACCTACCAAATTTGGTGAAGTCGGACCAAGGAGCTTTTGTGCAGGGTAGATCCATCTCAGAAAATCTCCTAGTAGCCATGGGGGCTCTTGAGATTATTGGTAAGGAAAGAAGACAGGTGATGGTCGCTATGCTTGATTTGGAAAAAGCATACGAGAGAGTCAACTGGTCTTTTGTCCTTGCCTCGCTAGAGCACATGAATTTCGGTGCACCGTTCTGAAACAAGGTGGCGGTAATGTACAAGGCCTCTACTGCGTCAGTCCTAGTCAATGGCAGGAGATCACGCACCTTCTCGCTCTCCCGCTCTCTCAGATAAGGTTGCCCGCTCGCACCACTTCTGTTTGTTCTTCAAATGGAAGTGGTGTTAAATGCACTAAGATCCGCACCAGTGGTTAAAGGCTTGCAGTTGAGGGAAGGAGTGGAAGTACTTACCGGGGCAATTGCAAACGATCTTCTCTTGATCACAGAAGCAACAGATGAATCATTGCTGGCGACGAAGGCAGTCCTAGACAAGTACGAAGCGTTGTCGGAGGAAAAAGTTAACTGGGATAAGTCAGTCTACTTTTTACCTCCCGAATTCGATCTGAAGGACGATTGGACTATGAAGAGAATCAAAGAAGAAGATTCAGAGCGGTACCTGGGTCTGCAAGTCTCTCTGACCAACAGCAAGCCAGCTCAAGATGCGATTTTGGCAACACGAGTGGAGTCCAGAGTAAAGAGGTGCAGAGGGGCGGTGGGCCTCTCCTTGATGGGACGGCCAGCTGTCATAAACACCTCAATCTTCCCGCTCATCTGGCATATTGCGGCAGTCATATTAATCTCTCGCACGACGTTACAGAAGATTAAGTCTTGGGCAGCCCATTATCTGTGGAAACCAAGTAGAGAAGAACAGGAGGGTTTCGTCACAAAAGTCTCTTGGGCCAAGGTAACGCAATCAAAGAAGGATGGGGGTTTGGGTATCTTAGACCCTGAGAAGCAGAACTTGGCACTCCTTGGCAAATGGTTCCAGAAAGCCTGCAACCAACCAGAGAAGCGCAGTTGGTTGGAAATTGTTCAATAACATTTTGCAGCAGGAGTTTGGCCTATCAAGAAAGGAGGACGTCTGGGTTTGCCTTCAGATGTCCTCCTTCCGGGACCGCAGGCCTAGATCAGCCATTGGTCTGGCGTGGTGGCTTGCCTGGCATAAGCTGAAGAAGACCAACTCCCTGGTGCCTGTTACAAGAGACGACGTCCTTGTTCAACCGCTGTTTGAGAACCAAGCTATCAAGCAAAGGACATGAGATACTTTCTCAACATCAAAACAGAAAGGTGCCTTTGGAAGGAAATGGGTTGAAAAGGGAGTATCCCAGGTCCGAGACATCTGGGCAGAAGAAAGGCAAGAATGGAAATATGAGATCGAAGTTCGACAGAGATTAGGCAGACTGCATGAAGTGCGTGCCAAGCTGGGTCAATTAATTCAAGCAGTACCTGAAGATTGGGTAAAGCTTCTTCAAGGAGACAACCGTCTGAAGA